AMYYYTTTATYAAAATCAACCAACATGGCGGCTGTGTAAACTAGTAGTACTGTATTGCAAAGATGTATGGATTCCAGGTGTTTACCTACCCTTTCTGTTGGAAGGCTTCCTCCATTTGAGCAGCGCTGTCGTTATCAAACTTTGACAGTGATTCCATGACAAGTTTTGATTCTTTCTTAAATGCCTTGCCAAAAGCGGCCTTGTCTGGGACCACTTCTAACACATCTACTTTGACCTGTTTGACATTATCAGTTAAGGATTCAAAATACCAGACACTCGACGAGTACAAACTCATCTAAAATCAACTCAAATCACCCCCAATACTACACAGCACAGCACAACACAGCACAGCACAACACAACACGCTACAATACAATACACTACGCTGCACTGCACTGCATCCTCTTAAACTGTGTGTAACTCAACTAAATCAACTCTCCCTAACYCAACTCAATACTGTACATACAATTTAATAGCATAATTGAACCATTGCCCACTCCCAGCATCACAAGCTCAACTTTTATTCTTGACAGAAAAGCCTCCACAATAAACTCCCACCTCCACATTCTTATTCCATACCAGTGGCGTAGCAAGGCGACCAATCCAAATCAATTCCACTCAACTCAACAACTCGACTCAATATTTCGTTTTGACAGAAAACCTCCGTGTATATGGAGGGAAACTTCAAACATGATACGCGTGTGTTTTGGCAGAAAAATGGTACATTGCCCTTGAGACCTTTCTAAGCACCTGTTCCATACCCACCAATTACATCCACAGTACACATAACAAACTTAATGATTTATTCAGGGCAGTTCTCCTTATTAACTCAGTGTGGATACAGGTTCAGGAAGATCAACTTGTGCTACCAGTCTGTCTCCTGTAGCATTGGTGTGTTGTACTAGATCATAGCAGGCACGATCAGCAATACCCACACACTCTATCCACCCCTATGGGTAAGAAAACACATAGACATTTATTATAAGGAGTGTGTGTAGCATGATTGAATTTCTCAGCAAAAACACAGAACGTGATGTTTTTGATGCAAGAAATTTTCCAGGCCCCAACCTCATAGCATTCATTTTTTTTGGGGTACCCCCTTCAATTGTTCAAAAAATTCCTCCCGACCCTCCTTTTGACCTTTCAAGGCCCCCCCTGCTCCAATAAAAAATCAAATAAAAGTGGGCCCCCCATTTTCTCCCCCACCCCTCTTCCCCTCCGACTTAAATAATGACTGGTCCCTAATTTATCCACAATGTTCCATGATAGAGTAGATCTAGTATTTGAATGAAATCAAGGAAATTTGAGCTTCATGTATGAAAGTCACTGCATGGTACACGTCCATAATGTCAAATCATCATATAGAATAGACTGTTCTCAAATTAGTCAAATACCACTGTGTTCCTTGATTAGACTCATTTACTCAGGGCTAACCTCGTATCAGTGTCTAAATATTCACAAATACCAACAGTAAAGTAAAGAATGCACAACTTCAATGATACAAGCACTTTGAAATTCCACAGTGAGAACGTCAAGTGTTGTTTAACTGTCCAGAATGCATAAATATTCTACATAAAAATGACGCCAAACCTGAGCAAAAGAGAACTCCAAACTGGAGTGTTGCAAAGAGTATATGATGACTTACATAAGATGTCCTCAGCTCAGCATCCCAGCAGTCACAGGCATAGTGAGCCATTTCATTTGACATGTGTTGTCTGAAGCGAAACTTTGTCTTATCAACACCAATCTTGACCAGAAACTGCCAGACACGACCCATGAAGTAAGCTACCGTTGTGCTGTTGATAATTTTCTAAACAAAATATGAAAATTAGAATATCTTTTAAATATGGAAAACCGCATTCTCTACCCAGACCTAGCCTGCGTCACATCCGGAGTTTTCTTCGTAAATACCGGTATTTATGAAGAAAAATCTGAATGTGATGCAGGCTACCCAGACCCTTCTAAGTGAAAAATCGATTTCTTGTTAAAAAGCTGATAAGGGTAACGGTACGAGAATGGCTGTGGTGGCTAAATCCCCTGCGCCCATCTCCCCTTCCCACACATGCTTATTCAACAAATATAAACTTAACCTTTTTTGCAAATTGAAGGTTTGGGGGGGGGGGGGACCTTTTTGCAAATTGAAGGGCTAGGGGGGGACTTTTTTGCAAATTGAAAGGGTGGGGGGGTAATCCTTCCTTCCCCCATCCACATTTTTATTGGAGATTGCATCTAAATTAATGTTGCCTTTGCTCTTACCTAAGTCGTTAAGTCTATGACACTATTTTCTAGAATATCTACGACCTACAGCTGTACGACCCAGCCCAATTTCTAAATTTTCTGTACCTTTCTCTCCATGGTTCCCCATCAATATTTTTGTCATCTCATACATAACCGTTAAACAAAGAATTATACTCTAGGAAATGATATGTAGTATGAATATGCGTAAGCAAAGAAGCTCTATGAAGTACCAGACCTTGTTAACAGCATCTCCAAGGGTTGTTTCAAATGCTGGTTGACCATCCATTTGATAACTCGATGGGTACAAAACAGCCTTAATGTCACTGACATTAGGGAACTTAGGGTGACTCTTGTCTGAGGGATCAACAAAGTGCTCTATCTCTGCTAAAGTGAACTCTCTACAGAAATTWAAAAAAATTCAATCAATTACTGCGGTTTTCAATATTCAATTTTATTTGATTTCCACTGACTAAAAGAAAATTGGAAATATAAAGTAAATTAGTGTATTTGCATAGATATTTAAACAGTTTGAGCATGGATCATCCTCTCATGATCCATGGTTTGAGTAAAAAGAAAATTCTGTGAAGTCAGACACTTTAATAACAGCATATTGTAAAATTGTTTTTTTTTTTACTGCTGTCAATGAACAACATACTGTAAATAGAGCTGACTGATTATTTGTCATTGCAAAGTGAGCACCTTCTCCTCAGCTATTTTAAGACCCTGAGCGGCGGTCCAGCCAAGGCTTGAACCACAGGGAGCTCAATTTAGATTNGGGGGGGGGGGGGACCTTTTTGCAAATTGAAGGGCTAGGGGGGGACTTTTTTGCAAATTGAAAGGGTGGGGGGGTAATCCTTCCTTCCCCCATCCACATTTTTATTGGAGATTGCATCTAAATTAATGTTGCCTTTGCTCTTACCTAAGTCGTTAAGTCTATGACACTATTTTCTAGAATATCTACGACCTACAGCTGTACGACCCTACCCAATTTCTAAATTTTCTGTACCTTTCTCTCCATGGTTCCCCATCAATATTTTTGTCATCTCATACATAACCGTTAAACAAAGAATTATACTCTAGGAAATGATATGTAGTATGAATATGCGTAAGCAAAGAAGCTCTATGAAGTACCAGACCTTGTTAACAGCATCTCCAAGGGTTGTTTCAAATGCTGGTTGACCATCCATTTGATAACTCGATGGRTACAAAACAGCCTTAATGTCACTGACATTAGGGAACTTAGGGTGACTCTTGTCTGAGGGATCAACAAAGTGCTCTATCTCTGCTAAAGTGAACTCTCTACAGAAATTWAAAAAAATTCAATCAATTACTGCGGTTTTCAATATTCAATTTTATTTGATTTCCACTGACTAAAAGAAAATTGGAAATATAAAGTAAATTAGTGTATTTGCATAGATATTTAAACAGTTTGAGCATGGATCATCCTCTCATGATCCATGGTTTGAGTAAAAAGAAAATTCTGTGAAGTCAGACACTTTAATAACAGCATATTGTAAAATTGTTTTTTTTTACTGCTGTCAATGAACAACATACTGTAAATAGAGCTGACTGATTATTTGTCATTGCAAAGTGAGCACCTTCTCCTCAGCTATTTTAAGACCCTGAGCGGCGGTCCAGCCAAGGCTTGAACCACAGGGAGCTCAATTTAGATTAAAGTGAATGGTGAAAATAAAATCGGAAAAATTAAATAATTAATTATTACCTTGCCAGAGTATATATACATATGATAACATCAGATGCCATAGGGAAATTATATAGGAAAACAAAGATGCGCGAAAAAAAAAATGTTCTAGTGCATTTTTCATTGATTTTTTTGCTCTTTCGCATTATGGAGGGCATTATTTTGATCTCGAATTTAAAAAAATATCAATTATTTAATTTTTCTGATTTTATTTTCACCGTTCACTTTAATCTAAATTGGGCTCCCTGTGCTTGAACCACGATCTCCTGCACGACAGGCAGACTATCTTACCAAAAAAAAAAACTTTTAATCCAAGTTACCTATGATATCAACTAAAAATTTTTTAATTAAACAACTGTTCTAAATATTGTGTTCTGATTATAGTTCATGATTTATAAATCTTGTGTTCTGATTTAAGATTTATGAAGTCTGTCTTACAACTGAGCTTACTGGGTAACAGTTATGCTGATTGGTTGGGAGCGCAAGCTTTATGAGAATACACAGCAGGTGAGTGCATTATTTCTACATGTATACCAAAAAACAGCTATTCTAATTGATATTCAACATATACATGTATAGAAAAAAATTAAATATCAAACATGCTTGCTTTGCTTTGCTGTGCTGTGTTCAGTTATAAAGCACTTAGGGATTAGCAGAACACAAAAAATCAATTCCCACACATGCTTTATAACTGCACACAGCAAGCATGCAGCTTTTTTATTTCTCCAGTTTTAGCATTGATAACATAATTTTTAGTACCTGACTCGAAGTAAACCAGCTCTTGGAGAGATTTCATTCCTAAAGGCAGGTCCAATCTGTGCAGCCGCAAATGGRAGTCTGCCATTGTTGGCTTCTAAAAGACGCTTGAAATTCACAAAGATACCTTGTGATGTCTCAGGTCTTAGAAAACTGTAATTTAAAGATAGAAATTAACAAAATGGAAAATAATTTTTCTTTTCCAAGTTGGGCTATTATTAGTAACTGGTTGCAGCTTAAATTTTGACCTACCCTCACCCCCATGCGTCATCAACTTCCGCACATGCGCTCTTTCCGTTTTGTTTTTAGTCATCAAAACAATAAAGGGAAAGAGAACRTGCGCGCAAGTTGGTGACTCACAGTGTAAGGTAAGGCAAAATTTTATACTCTCTGATTGGCTAGAAGTGTATTCGCAGACAAGATTTTCGCGCRTAAAATAATATTTCTCTCGTAAACATTTGAGATCTAGCGACTTCTATAATAGCTCAAAATGGATAAATTTATTATGAAGCCATTAAATATGGAAGAAAAGAAGAAATTAACACGACTTAAATTATGCTATTTATAAGAATTTTTGATTTTGTGAAGCGAGTTAATTTCCTATAATAAGGCGTACATAATTATAAATAATCTATTACTGCGCAGTAACTACGAATATGCAAACGATATTTTGTTGTGCAAGGTGAGGTGAGGTGGTAAATAACGTKGAGATTTTTTGTTAAGCTTCAAAAACAGATCATAAATTTAAGGTTTCAAAAAAAAAAGAAGAATTGCGTGTAGTGCGAAAAACACGACGATCACACGTGTGGATTAAAAACCTGAGATAAAGAAGGCCAGTGTCAAATAAAGAAGCAAAATCAAGGTAAACCGTAAATAATTGCGTAAAACTTTAGTCAAACAAAGTTTGGAGCTAAATAAAGAAGCAAAATTTTTTAAAACGTGTATAATCCTGTAAAAAAAAAATTTTTCGATTGTGACGTCATCCCGCATCCTATTCCGCAGAATTTACCATTTTCTCCGCATAATCCGGAAAAAAATCCCGCATAATTTCAATCCTTTCCCCGCATCCTGTCAGAAGCCCTGTTTTATAGCAATAGTATGTGTTAAGTTACAGACACGCTGTGCAACATTGTGAGCAATATTGCAGGTGATTGATGTTATGAGCCATGTCACGAGATGTAATTGTTGCAATGTTACTGAAGTAAAGAATGATCCTACTTTGGCAACACTGCCTGCAATATTGCACGCAATGCTGCCCCATGTATACGTACTGCACATGTAACTTACATGTAAGAGCTGAACGCCTGTTTTTAACCATAATTTGACTCATTACGATATGTTCTGACTTATTTACTTCAGTCCAAAGGGCCTATATTTGCACTTACAATTGTGGGTCAATAATAATTAACAGTTACACAATAATAACCTTCATAAATACTGTATATTACTGACAATTCATCATTCTTACCCAGGAATCAGACCACTTGGTCCAATAGATGTAGAGAACATAAGATTGAATTCACTAGGGTCTGACAAATCATTTCCAGTCATTAAAGCTTTGACCTCATACTTCTTAATCAGCTCCCCTAACTCTTGCATGGTGTAGTTATCAATCTGGAAAATGCACAAAAGAGCTTACAAAAAGTAAATAGTGGCTTTTGGTAACTCTACTGGTTCATAGTATTTTGCAGGATGAAAAGTAACTCTGTACACTGCTAATGCATACCATCTTTCCAATTTGATCATTGCCAAGTTCATGATCATTTCCTTCAAATGTATTTTATAACAATCGAAACAGCTTCAGTGTCTGATCTAAGTCAGGGCATGGCTCACTCACATATCAAACTCTGAAACAGCCTCTGGGCTGATCTACTGTAAGTCAGGGCACGGCTCACTCACAGATAGAACCCTGAAACAACCTCTGGGCTGATCTAAGTCAGGGCATGGCTAATTCACAGATAGAACCCTGAAACAACCTCTGGGCTGATCTAAGTCAGGGCATGGCTCACTCACATATCAAACTCTGAAACAACCTCTGGGCTGATCTACTGTAAGTCAGGGCATGGCTCACTCACAGATAGAACCCTGAAACAACCTCTGGGCTGATCTACTGTAAGTCAGGGCATGGCTCACTCACATATCAAACTCTGAAACAACCTCTGGGCTGATCTACTGTACGTCAGGGCATGGCCCACTCACAGATAGAACCCTGAAACAACCTCTGGGCTGATCTAAG